TGTCATTGAGATCCTAGCTCTACATAGTATTCCTTCGGGTTGTGAGATTTCCGGTATATGTTGCACATCAGATGACGAATATCTGAGCATATAGTAATTTAATGTCGATGCTAATCCATAATGTCACTTCTACAGCCACAGTACAGCCTCTAGTTTGGCATATAAAGAGGGGCACTGAGTTTTCTAATTACTCATTATATATTTGTTCAAGTAAAAAAAAAAAATCACAACTTATCATCATTATAATTAGTACAGAACTACAGCTGGCCTAATTTTATTTAATCAAACTGTAGCTGAAGTACATTTGATCAAACCTTGGTCTGCTGAACTACAGCTGACGCACTTGGTGTATTAAAGCGTACCTAAGCCAGCTGTTCGCCGCTGTAATAATAATCAAAAATAATATGTAACCCGTGGGTAGGTGTTACCACTGACCTCTCACGAATCCCCACACTTGTTTTTTGTATTTGATAGACGACCAGACGCGAATGTGCGTTCTGTCGTTAGACTTCCTGGTGAGGCAATAGTGGTTGAAGACGGAGAAGGCGTCAGCGTAGGGGATGCCCGAATTCACGGAGTCTGTCTCAACCACGAACACTTGTCCTGGATGACTTATCTGCAGAGTCTGTTTCAGCAAATGGTTATGGAAGAAAGGGACAAGAAAAAAAATTGTTTAGACTGAAAACAAAGAGATGAGTTTTTACTGGCATCTTTTTACTATTATGGAATCAGATGGTCGGCAGGCTTTCATGAATTCCAATAAAACTGTTAAATTGGACGTAAATAAAGTCAATTCAAAATAAATCAATTATGCGAAACAGTGACCTCACCTGCGTCTCCGTGACGAAAGATGCTTTTGCTCCAATAGTCGAGAGGGAAAGGGCCATGTTGTAAGTAACGGTGCGTGTGCTGGGCTCCCCCTCCTGGTCTTGCCACGGGCTACTTGTTACGTCTGTAGAGAAGGAAGGACTAGGAGCTCATTAACATTAAATCAATAATAATAAGAACAACAACAACAACAGTAATGATAATGATAATAATGACAATAATGACAATAATAATAATAATAATAATAATAATAATAATAATGATAATAATAATAATATTAATAATGATAATAATAATGACGATAATAATGATAATGCTAATAATAGTACTAATGGCAATAATAATAATAATAATAATAACAATAATAATAATAATAATAATAATAATAATAATAATAAAAATAATAATAATAATAATAATAATGATAATAATTATGACAACATGATATGGCTTCTTATCACTGTTTTTCCCAAAGTCTAAATGAATAATAATTACTGAATGATTGACAAGGTGACGATGATACTCATTGGGCAATTGACAAGTTGGCAGTGACACTTTTTCTTGATGAAATTAAATATATTGGAAAACAAACAGGTTGTTGAGGATACTTGTCCGAAATGACAATAATGTTTTTTTTTTTTCCCGGACATCACCAACCTCACAAGCGTATCTTCCCATTCCAAGAGAATGAATATAATAATCCATCTGACACTTCGTCATTCCGTATTCTCACGCCCACCCCTTGCCACCTCACCTGTTGTTTTCCTGGCCGCGTAAACGTCTGTCATGAGCTGGTCCTGGCGAAAGAGGAGGGCGAAGACCGCGTCGACCGGCAGCGACACCTCTGCGTTCAGTAATACTTTCCCCTGATGCTGTGGCTCCATGGGACACGTCAGCGAAGGCTCCCCTGAGGCAAAGGGAAGGAAGTGTTAATATCTCAAAAAAAAAAAAAAAAAAAAAAAAAAAAAAAATGAAGGGAGTAAGTAAAAAGAAAGAAATGGATTGATCATTGGATAGCCAGGAAAAACTTACAGCACATGAAGAATGTCCATACGGATCACAGTAAAAGAAGAAGAAAAAATAATGTAAAAAAAAATAATCATAATCTCTTCCATATGAATAGACGAAAAAGGGAAAAAAAGGGAAAATCGATGTTTAAAAAATATATAATCGCTTCCATATAAAGACAAAGATAAGAAAAACAAAACAAAAAAATATCAACCACAATTAAAAAAAAAAAACGAACGAACGAAAATGCATTCCTCTCTCACCCGCCATCTCGTCGCTCTCCGTGGAATCATCCTTGTCGAGCCGCGTCCTGGACACACTGAGGGGGAACATGGCCGTCGGTGGCAGCTCCGACACCCTCCTGGCGCCCCCGACGTCGCCTGCGGGGAGGAAGGAGGCCGCTCGCTCGTCGCCGTCGCTGCCAGGGACGCCATTCTGGATTGGGACGGACGGACGCCGTTGCTATGGTTACTGTTGTCGCCAATGTTACTTCTGTGACTATTTCTGTTATACCATTAACATCTCCTCCTATAACTTTATCATTATTATTTTCACTGTTATTATTGTTGATGTTATTATCTTTATTATCATTATCATTGTTATATATCATTAGTATGGTTGTTATTATTGTTGTTGTCGTTGCTATTATCTTCATTATTATTATATTATCATTGTTATCATTCTTCTTACTATTATTATCATTATTACTATCATTATCATTATTGTTACTATTATTATTATTATTATTATCATCATTATCATTATCATTTTTATCATTATTATTATTATTGTTACTATTGCTACCATCATTATCCTTATTATTATTGTTATAATCACTGTTATCATTATCACTATTATTATTGTTATTATTATATTATTGCTATTATTATGCCATTGTAATTGTCATTATCATTATTAGTATATATAAATATATATATATATATATATACATATATATACATATATATATATATATATATATATATATATATATATATATATATATATATATACATATATATATATATATATATATATACATATATATATATATATATATATATATTGTTAACTGTTATCATGTTATTATCATTATTATTATCATCATCAATAGTAGTAGTCGTATTATCATTATTATCATCGTTATTATTATTACTATCATTATTATTATTATCATTATTATTGTTGTTATTATCATCATTATTAGTATTACTACTACCACTGCTATTATTATTATTATCATTATTATCATTATCATTATCATTACCAATATCATTGCCATTATCATTATTACTATCGTTATTGTTATTATTGTTATCATTATTACTATTATTATTATTATCATTATTATTATATTATTATTATCATTATTGTTCTTATTATCATTATTATTATTATCATTAGCATTAGCATTAGCATTATTATTATTACTATTACTGTAATTATTAATATTGTTGTTATTATTATTATCATTATTGTTATTATTATTGTTATTATCATTATTATCTTTATCATCATCATTGTTATTATCATTATTATTATTATTATTATTACCATTACTGTTATTATTGTTCTCACTGGCGTTATCATTATTATTATTATCATTATTATCATTATCATTATTAGCATTGTTATCCTTATTATGATTATCATCAGGACAAATATCACCTTTGTCATTATTACCGCATCATTGTTTGATTGAGATTAACTGAGTTGATCATGTATGAGTTTCTTTAAGATTACACACACACACACACACACACACACACACACACACACACACACACACACACACACACACACACACACACACACACACACACACACACACACACACGCACACACGCACACACACGCACACACGCACACACACACACGCACGCACACACACACACACACACACACACACACACACACATATATATATACATATATATATATATATATATATATATATGCATATATATACATATATATATATATATATATATATATATATATATATATATATATATGCATATATATACATATATATATATATATATATACATATATATATATATATATATATATATATATATATTGTTTTTTTATATATAAAAGAAGATTACTGTATATCATCATTCAAAATTCAGTCATTATCTTCAGTATTCTTGGTATCATCTAATAAAAGAAATGTTAAATCTATGTCATTGATCAATCAAATAAGTACTACAGTAACGCAAATACTTTTAGGTACGTATACAGTGAAAATATCCTGCCATCTATTCTTAGCTTCTAATCTGCCCATTGCGCACTTTATCTTATTGTTATTGAAACATTCATCTGACATTCCAATAGGATATAAAACCGACTTAACGGAAACCGTATTGCATAGAAGAAAATAATATCCTGTATGGAAAATACACTAGGAAAGATTTTTACTTACTTCCTCTAGCGTCATGTGTCGGTTTGCTCCGCCTCAAGTAAACGGTGATCCGACGCTTTCTGAGGGAGAAGTTAGTAATATCGTTAAAATAATCATTACTACTTTACGGTGATCGGACGTTTTTGGTTTAGTAGTCTACGAGATCTACAGTGAATGTAGAGTTTGGGTGAATATCTCATACAGCACAGACTTTGTTAAAGTGATATCATCATTACTACCTGATGTTGCTACTAACATTGTTAACAGTTCTGTAGTTCAACAGTATTGCTGTTACAGCCATCTCTAAAGGTATTGCGATCATTATCATTAAGCTTACTGCTTATATATATATATATATATATATATATATATATATATATATATATATATATATATATATATATATATACACACACACATATATATATATATATATACATATATATATATATATATATATATATATATATATATATACATATATATATATATATATACATATATATATACATACATATATATATATATATATATATATATATATATATATATATATATATATATATATATATTATAGTTATAGTAATTTCAATCATTACAAAAAAGATCATTATTCTTAATATCTTTGTTATTAGTACCGTATCATCAATATCATCCCTACTATTATTACTCTCATTATTATTGCCGTCATCATAATTGGCATTGATAACATCACTATTTGCATTGCCATCACTGATTTTATATTGACTAGTATCAA